CATTGCTGAGATTCCACCTCCACCTCAAGAAGAAGTTGGACCGTGGGAGAGTAAACCTTCAGCTGTGGATGCTTTCACTCTTATGCATCATGATTTGGATGTGTGCACGAATTCCTTACAGGTAATACAAAATTGTATAAGGATTTATTGTAAGACAATGATTTTTCGCAAATGCTTTTTTCATTTTTACAATTTACTGTATGGTAATACTAGCACGATATTTTTATTATTTTAGTATGCTATGTTATTGGATATAGTGAATAACCTGCTACTATACGTGGAACCTACAAGAAAAGAAGCCTTGGAAAAACTTGCTAGAATGCGATTCAAGCTGCAACTACAGACTATGGAAGATCAGAGAAAACCGATCCAGAATAAGCAAATGGTAATATGTTAGAAATATTTTAATACAACATTTTGATATATCAATTTCAGGAAGTAAGAACATTGCAAAGCAAACTCCGAAGATTGGAGAAAGAAAGTTATCTTGTCAATAAAGCTTTAGAAGAAAATCCTGACGAGGAAGAATTGATCGAGTTGAGACAAGATGCAGAGAGATTGGAAAGGCTGGTATGTTTTTTCACTTTGATCAACTGACAATTCTTACCTAAGGGATTACGTTAAAAATATGAGATTTTTACTTGAATCCAACAAAAAATGATTAGACACCTAAGAAATCATTAATTTGAGGAATTCTTTATTACCAAAAAATAAATAAATAAAATAAACAAATACAAATATGTAGAATTATATTATAAATTAGGTTCAGCCCTCACTATCGTTTTAGATGAACGAGTGTAAAAATCAGCTGAATACCCAAAGTGAAGAGCTAGACTTGATGCTTTCCTGTTACAAGGAGTCACAATTGCTGGCAAATGCTAGACTAGCAACTACAAGAAGTGATAAACCATTGACTATAGTTAGAGCAAACGAAATATGTTTTAAACATGCCCAGTGGAGATTAACAGAGGCAGACGGTCAGATCGGTATTGCCGATTTGGTTCTCAGCAACTTTTTGTGAGTACAAACAATAAAAACTGATATCAGAAGACAAGTTGAAAAATGGTAAACTGTGGCATCAATGTCCTAGTTAATCATTGTTTTTTTTGTTTTATTCACTTTGGGACTGTGTTTAATGGATTAAAACGGGTGTTGATAATAATAATATAAGTTGAAGTTATTGATATTAACGTTTGCATATGTATTTTAAAAACCTAACGAGGGTGAAACAAACATAGAAGAAGAGTTATTCATAGTCCGCGGTATGCTATTATGCATAAAGTTTAAGCCTACATTTTGATTGTTCACACGATTTCAGATATACAAAGAATTCAAAGAGTGACGATTCTGTTGAACATCTGCTGGAGTTAGGATATCTAAGGATGACCAATCTCCTCCCAAATGAGATCTACAAAGAAGTGCTGTGTCCTACTGAAATTCAGTATGACATGCCAATAGAACATAAGGTAAAAATAGATCTACAGATGTGAACAAACTGATCAGATTGAGCCTTGAAGAACTTTGAGAGAAACACATCCTTGGGTTTTAAATTATTATACACTTCTTTTTTTTTCAGAAAGTTCTGAGAGTGTTCTGTAGAGAACGTCCACCTGTGGGAGGTATATCAGTCAAGGAGCATTTCGAAATAAATTTAGTTCCTTTGACTATAGGTATGGTTTTCAGTTGAATCTTAACAAAAACATCGGTACTATCTTTAGAAAATTTTGTTTTAGGGTTGACGAAAAAGTTCTACAATACAATGATGAAGTTCTGTTTCCCTGAAAGAGATGAGACTTCAGATTATAACGACAAGCCTACCGAAGAGGAGGTAGAACAGAAAGGGAAAAAGATAAGGTCAAGAAGAAATCGGGATTCTAATTTTTATGTACATATAGATGACGTAGAAAAGATGAAGGTAATAATAGATGTTTATTCATTTTTCTTTTAGATTATACTAATCAACGCATAGTAGGTGTACGTCCGTCTATAATTTTTGATAGTGTAGTGTAGTTCAATATTAGTTCATAAGCCATCGTTGCTTTGGATTCCTTGATCTTGATTATCTTTTCTTTGTAGGAAAGAGCAGAGAAAAATAAACTTTTTGTCTACATAAAGATTCCTGAAGTTCCAGTGAAAGTGAGCTATAAAGGCAATAAAGAGAAAAATTTAGAAGATTTAAGAGATTATTCGTTAGTTATACCTACACTTGAATACCATAATATGACGTGGACTTGGTTAGATTTGTTGATGGCTATCAGGAACGATAGTAAAAGAGTAATCCTGTCGCAGGTATGTACAAATGGATTTTTATGGAATATGAAATTTTAGTACCTTATTATTACCTTAGGCAATCAAACAAAAGTTGCAAATAAAGAGAAATACAGGATCATTGGACGATTGTTCTGCGCCGCAAGAAGAGGATAAGGCAAGGATGTTATTTGGGAGCAGACATGTAAGTTTTTGTATAGAAGTATAATATTGTATACAGGATGTCCCAAAATCTTATGACAGTACCTCGTATGTACAGTAGCGGACAAAAGTTTGGAAATCTTTTCAGTAATTTTTAAAAAGTTAGCTTATTTTTTTATTCTTTATTATTAAGGATTATTTTTTCACATATAGTTTGCTTACAGTCATTAGGATACAAATGACAATTTGTGTTTGCTGTGGTACTATATACTAGCATTAAAATACCTTTATATTATTTTATGACCGAAAATGAGACGACAAAAGATTTAAAAAATAGCCTTTAGCATTCAACACTGCCTGACATCTGCTGCTCATAGAAGACACCAATTTTTTACAGACGTCCGGTGGTATATTTTGCCAAATATTTTTTACATGATCAAATAAATCGCTCCTATTCTTAAAAGTGTTTCTTGTCAGTTGTCTTTTAGCATGCTCCCAGAGATGTTCTATAGAGTTTAGGTCTAGAATTTGCGAATCCCCCGTAAGAACATAAACATTTTTTAGTCTTAACCAGTCCTTTACGAATTTTGAGGTATGCTTGTGGTCATTATCTTGCTGGAATGTCCATCGTAAAGGCATTTCTTCTTCAGCAAGAGCGAGCATGGGTTCACTAAGATTATCTTTGAAAAGTTTTTGATCCATTTCCATCGTTAGATACAAACTAGTTAAATTTGCTTTCATTGCTAGACTTTTGTTAAATGAGAGGCTTTTGTACTGGACGCCTACCGAAAAGCCCAAAATCCACCAAACGTTTCTGCACTGTTCTGTCAGAAAGATTCTCGGCACCTTCTTCTACGATTCTTTTGAAAATCTGTGTGACTGCCATTCGAGGATCTTCATGGGACAAGTGTTTAATGTATCGATCCAAAACATAATCGTTTTTTTTTCTGTCTTCCGCACCTGGGCCGCGTTGCTGTTGATCCGTATTCTTGATATTTACTTATAATTTTCGAAATCGTCCTCTGACCATTTTTAATTTTTGAGAAATGTCAACATTTCTGACCCCACTTCTAAATAATTCAATTACTTTCTCTTAGATCTTTTAAAAATTCTTTTACTTTTGCCATTCTCACTGATATTAATATTTACCGGACGCAATATCAGAGTATCGCAGAACGAATAAATACGGCAAAACTGAAATGCTTCCATACATTTTTCGTTACAAAAAATGTATTTAAAAAAACGCGTGTATTTATTTCCAGAGAAGTTGAATATTGAAAAGATAAACCTTGTACGGTGCCAAAGGTAGACTTTAATATTTATATTATCTGTTCCTTCACAATTTTAATTTTGATATATGAAATAGTTCATAATAATGTTAATATTTGTTTCCAAACTTTTGTCCGCTACTGTATATCTAACACAAAAACAATTACATTTTTGAAAAATTTTAAAAACCCGACTGCTGTAACTGAAATCAATGTATTTTTAATTGCACTATTAAGACGAATCTAAAGACACCTCAAATGTCAAAATTCATTAATAGATACCCACGCGTGAAAAACATAACCCTCCATCTGAGGCAGAGCGGGTAACTCCACAAGTTCATATAAAAACCTCTACGGTGATAAATGTACCTTAGGGAAAACGGTTTTTCTTCAACAAATACGAATAGATTAGGAGCCAAACCTATATCTTAACATTGCAATGTTTTTCGTATAAATGGCGTAGTTTGCATGCTTTTAGTTGATTTGACTACCACTGCTTACCAAAATGACAACCTTGTATCAACATAATAGTACTTGCCGGTGGAAAGATCTATTTTCATTGCTGCTCACTGCAAATTATGCAAGAAGTACCATGTCCTCAAATCGTCTAACACCACAATTATCTGCAAACCCTCGCACTTTTAAAAAATAAGACTAATGACGGAGCTGTCGAAAAATTAACTTATGTCAAGTCCACTTTCATCGTCACTGCATGCTGAGATTTTGGAAACGAACAAATCCCATGTCTTTTTAGCATAAAAATCGTAGGATATTAATAATTGGAACTTGTGGAATTATTTTTTTGTGTTCTTTATGTATACAAGAGATTTAGATTTAGGGGCACCTTGTATTTTTGCTCTAAATTGAAGGAGCTCGGTTGATTTTTTACTTCGGGGTTTTCACTAATGAAACACATGTGCTTATCAACAATTATACAATTTCAGGCCCCAGAAAACAGGAGTATAAGAAAAGGAGTGAGTGGCGTTTTCAAATTCGGTAAATGACGAAAGCTCAATAAATTTTAAACACACATGCTGTCAATTTTTTCCGATCATGTATTATGAGATGTCCGATAAAGTTTGTGATGCATATCTTTATAAGTATTATTCAGTGTTTGAAGGTATTAGGTATAATTTATTGAAATGTGATAGCACATTAGATCAAATTTTTTGGATTTTTGCATATTTATTCATATACATTTTAAACATTATTGTACAGTAAAATAAAAGTATTCAATGATGTTAATATATTTGTTTAAGAAACATATTTTTTTATTTATATGAGGGTAGATTCATGTCTAATCTACATAAAAATTTTAACTCCGTAATAAGAAATGCATGCATTTGCGTCACTCGACAAATTTTATTTGTTCCATAAAAAGACATATACAATGTAAACAGAAAATACATATTTAAAAAAAACAATTTTAAAAAGTCCGTAACAAAAAACGTTTTCAAATGCTTCACATCCAAATTATTTTCTTATACAGTTCAGATATTTAATTCAAAAATCTTTTTGAACTGTCCAAGAATTTCTCTCCCACTTGCATCCAAATCTCTCTTTTCCAGCTGGTTTAACGCATATACAGCGTTCGAAAGTTGTGTAGACTTTTCTGGAACCAAACGTTCCATCACCTTGCCGATATGAGTTTTTAGATTATCTTCATATAGTTGCAGAGTACTTTGTAATTGTGACAGATCTCCCATTTGTAAAAGTGTTGTCAGGTGCCCTAATGACAGACAAATCTGAAACAATTTTTCTGCTTAATAAACTGAAATGTATTCAAATCTCATTTAATCCGCGTCAAAACAAACATAAGAATTCGACCACTGATTCTATTAGCTTGTCGCTGCCATGTCCTGGCATTTATAGATAGGCATTTATTTCCAACAGACAAAAACGCACCCAATAACAGGGAATACAGTTAAAGCCAACTGAACATTTTGTTTCACGTACAACTAATGTTATATAAAAATATGAATAACAATAAAAAATAGTTGAAAAAGTTACGTATTAAAAGTGATTAATTTGTAAACGAGCGAGAGATAAGAGAAAATAATTTCTCAGCTGTTTCGGTCGGACTTACTAATGTGTCGCATAGTCTGGGCAGCAGATGGAGACACCATACTGTGACTTGCTGCGGACATAACTTGTATATAGAATTTCAATTTAACCGATGAGAATTCCTAGATTATCGATTTGTTCTTGATTTTCGTGATGATGTTCGTTTTGACGGGCTGTAAATGGGATTTGTGTACACTTGAGCATAATTTTGAGAAAAGGAGAACATATTAGTTATTACGGTGAAGTATTATGTATCACATTACATTAAAATGGCCAACCTGTTCCACTAGGTTATCCCTATGCTTATATTCATTGAAGTCTTCTATATTCCCAGAATTTTCCAAAGCCTTCAGAAGCGCCGCCCATACGGAGAAATAAAAATTTCCATAATGTTCTCTGCATTTAGGCGCGGACAACGCTAAGGCTGCATTTATCCTAACCTTGAAGTTCTTGAAAGAGACCACTAATTCGTTCAGTGCGTTGAATACTGGAACCTGGAATACATTCAATTTGTTAACTACCATTTTGGAGATTAACCAGCGAATATCATTTGACAAGAAACAATGTTTACCTGCCAGTCTTTGTTGCTGAAGTGTCCATCAACAGAACACCTTTTGTACAAATTTATATTCTGCATGGCATTTTTTAGAGCATAGCAAGAATTCCATCGAACCTGCAAAGTTACAATCATTGTAACAAAGTATGCATACTCGTAGTCTATTTTCTTGAAAATATTTTATCTTAAGACATCATATATTAGTTAATGGTTAGGGCTACGTGGCCTATCAAGTCCACAATATGTGAAAAACTGGCTTCAAGTAGGTTGACCTTGCACCTTCCTAGCCAAAGTCTCCACAGATCTGACAACATTGCTATCTAGCCTACCGCTCGACCAACAGTACCAACCACCCAGAAACGTGGCAACCCAGCACGGGGTTGCATGAGCGAATACACGCATCATCATTCAGCTATCTCTCAGCCTTCGAAGCAGAATCGCCGCCTGTTCCTGCACGCGAATATCGAAAACATATTTCTATTATTCAAGTTTTAAGGGCAAATGTACGGGGACATCTATGATATACGAATTATGTCTAATAGGTGCGTAAATTACCGGGGCTGAAACCAACGATTTCAAATACCGGTAGAAGACGTAAACAAAGGATTTGTTTTTATCAATCATCTCAAGCGACACACACTCGAGTGGCTACCAGTTTTCTGCGGTGTTGCCACATCTTGTTCAAAATCAACAACTGCTTTCACGCAATCGATTGATGACGCACTGAGCAGTGCAAACATAATCGTAAAATGTTATACGTGGTGATAACTAAATAAAGAGTATAAATTTGTCTCCAATATTTTGTATTTTCGAATAGAACAACTCATGTGTATGTACAGTTATAAATTGTTTGTAACACTTGCACCGAAAAGAAAGTCTTTGGTTCAGTATCCTAATATATTTCATATTGTAATGTTTCCACTAACTGATGCAGTGTCATCATAGCTTAAAAACCTACCAACTTCGAAGAACTCGCAGAAATTAAAACAAATAATTTTTCAAAAAAAAAAAACATCACAGCGATTTCCGAAAACGTCTCGAGCTATTCTTATTCTGGTTTCGTACTCAGCATTTCAAAATACATCTGAAATAAGCACCGAAGACAATTAAGAAATATGAATTGTTATATCCCGGTGATATTTCCTGAAAAACATGTTTGCGTAATAAACGTGGCAACGCTGTGGTGGCAAATTGAGAACAGCTAGGCTGATTTCTGGTGCTGGGGTGTTGTGCAATTGAAGGGAAGCTTTATTTTGCTCATGTCGTCATGTTTACGTGTGTTTCCGTGATATTTTGAGGATTTTGAAACATTTCAGTGCAATATATAGCATTTTGAACTATTCTCGAAGATGGTGAAGTGTTACATGTTATGTAAAAAGCAGTTTAAGCGCGATAAAAGCAGATGTCTACTCGGGGAAAAGTATATAATTTTCGTTCAAGGTCAAATTTTGTGTAAACAATAATCTGTTGAAGTTGCTGACAAACAATCGTTTAAGATCATATGGGCTTAGCTTCTTCTAACGTAGTCGTTGGCTGAAACCGAATAAATTGCTAACAAAAAACTGACATTTCCACACCCCTCAACGAACTTTTGACCCCTACACAACTTTTTTCGGCATAGTAGTAACCTTGTGCAAAAATTTCATCAAGATCCGCACGGGAACTACAGTAAAAAACCCATAAAACGTCAAAAAAACCTATAAAATGTCATCTTGCCGACTAGGTAGTTTTTAGGGTGCAGTCATTCCATGTTTGCTCACTAGGATCGTTGTGAGCGTCCATCTATGGAGGAATAGCTCAACTATACGCATTCTTGGTTGCATATGTTTTGAGAAGCCGAGCAGCCTATAGTTTTCATCTCTGAGAAGAATGTTGTGTTGAAATAGCAAGATCGCATCTGGATGATTGTGTGTATTGGTCTGCATGTGTATAAAATCGGTGATATTTGCTGTGTCAGAAAATCATTACTGAATATACTGCCAATGAAGTATATCTATTAGCTGTGCCCGACGGGTTATTCATATGTTGTCATTTCTGAAGAGTGTTCAAAGTTATAAATTACGATTTTTGACGTTTTTTTTGTTTTCAAAAACTTTGTGAAGTACGGGAAATCACCACCGCACCACCGTTGTGTGTAATTACTTTTAGCATGTATGCGACAGTTTACAGTGAATATAATTTTTACTTATCTCTCTCATTTTTGAAATTCAGCAAATTTGCATATGTAATTTCTAGAATGGATAAAAAAAAACTGGATGCGCAACTCATTTCTAGCTTTGAATATGAAGTGTATTTGAGACAAGAATCCAATAGAATTTTCATCACCAAATATTATTAGCATACAAATCCTCACTATGCACCTATGCATTGCTGTTACCTCCAGTAATGCCATCTCTGAAGCAGATTTTACATCACATGAGAGCCAAACATTGACATCTGAAGCCTCATGACGTTTAGGCAACACATACAACTACAAAACGAGTTCACATGTCCATCAGGTAGTGCTAACATCTTGTAGAAAAACCTACATAATGTCACAAAAAAAACAATATAATGTCAAAAAAAAATCGACACAATGTCAGTTTTCAAGATACGTAATACTCGTGCCGAACGGTACTTCCCAAGTTTCAGGCGTACCAAGGATTATGGGACAGACCGACGGATATGATTTCTCGTGATCTTTCTCGCCAGTGGCATCGGAACTAAAGTCATAGTCTCATATTTCATATGTCAAAATATGATATTTGTTTACCTTCATATTAGATCCTGTAGTACAACATTTAACCAAAACAGCAAATGCTTTATCAACTGTTTCTGGAAAGGGTTCATTTTTCAACATTTCCTCTGTAACCAACTGCAGTAAATTTCCTATCCCTCTTACGCAGTTCATTTTCACCTTATCATTGTCCGAGGTGCCGCAAATGCATGCCTTTAAAAGCTTTAAAATCATTTCCGACGATATTTCTTCGAATGCCTCTTTAGATTCTGTGCTAGAAGTTTATTAATACGTATGGGCCACTGGTTTGAAATGAAAGATGTACAACTACCTGCTCAAAACAAGGGCTCCACTAAGATTTCCTAAAGACCACGAGGCTTTTTCCCTGACTGACAGATGGTCATCTTTCAGTGTTCTGTATATTGCTTCTGCTGTATCCAATACAAATCCAGTATCCTAAGTCAACAGAATATTCCAATAAAGTATAGTAAACAAACTGGAAGAGATTAAAGTTTTATTTAACCTATTACCTACCTCTCTAAGTGATGGATACGTCACACAGATTGCTAATGCCCTAACTGCTGCTCCTTTGACACTATTTTCTCCATCTCTTGTACACGAAAATAGCAAAGTCACACATAAGATTTGTTTATCCCGCTAAAAAGAAAAATCTCTACATTGACTTACACCACACAGATCGATTTTCGATACAACATCCCTTGTAATTATTCGTAATATCTCATCAGAATTTCTGAATGTCAGAAAAGGAAATCTCATAACTAGCGCGGCATCAGTTCGAGAGGTGGCAACACGTATACCGATGAAGTGGATATGTTTGCTTTCCGTCTCTGTAACCATGACCAACCGCAGACAACGCTGTTGCGTGATCCTTGGCACCCATCAGTGCGGTATAGGTTTAGTCTTGGAAACAGGTAAACGGAAAGAAAAACTGAAAATTCAGATTTATTATAGTTGTAGTCACCGTTCTTGGTGGTTACGTCATCAACGCCGTATGAAATAAGTAAAGAGATCGAGTCACCGTACCATGGACGCAGACTAATTTTCAGCGCATCTGCTACTCTCTCCAGTATGCATGAGTTGGGTAACAGGGGACCGCTGTTTTCATTCTCTTTCTGGAAATAAATAAATTTAGCACGAGCTGTCGGCCTTCTGCATTGATCGTATTTCCGGGTATTGTACAATTTTATATTGAAGAATGATAACGGGACAACTTGAATTGCACGCCGATTGTCAAGTAGTTTGCCACTCTGACAAATATGATTGAAGGGCAGTCATACGTAACGACAAATATTTCGAGACGGAGACACGCAACTAAAAAACGTATGTCTTTCAGCTTACCAAACAAACGTTCACACACAGGGGTTGGTTGGCTGTGTATGTATGAGGGAGATTGAGATGTATAAAGGGATACTATACTACAACTATTTAAAACTGTAATGACTCATACGCGTGATCAACACGTGATCAGAGCTGGATCCCGGCTTCCTTCCAGTACAGCCGTATAGCGTACGACATATGTCGTTTCTGTGGCTTTGCGGGGGTCAACAGCACAGACAGAGATGGAAATAATGGCTGATTGTTCTCCGCCGGTAGAACCAATGAAATCAAAGACGCGCCTCGACCGGCAGACTCATAGGCGTCGGCAACGCATTGGAACGTGTTTCGTTGAGCGATCGCATATTGTGTGTTTTTATAAGAATTGTTGTGTGATTGTTATTGTTGTGGTTTCTGTGGTTACTGTTTTGGTTATACTTAACCATGGAGAGTACAAATGGCACGAGTGGAAGTACTGAAAGCCAGGGAACAAGTAGACGGCTTCGTAAAGCACTGAAGAGGGACGCGAAAGAAATCGTGCTCAACGTGTTCAATTATCTGAACAGAACTATGTCGCAGGGAGATGCACTCGCGCGTTGTGAAAGTATGACAGGCCTTCGAGAGTGGACCATTCGCAGGGTGGTGCATGAAAAGAAGAAAACTGGAGCTACTACTGATCCAAAGTTTAATTTGACGGGACGAAAGGCCGTTAAATTGGATGACGATAGCAAAATGGCGTTAAGGCGAACCGTACATTTATTCTTCTTTAGGAATGAGGTACCAACCCTCAAGGCTGTACATGCAGCGATCAAGGAAAATGAAATTATACCCCAAATGAGCGTCGAGGTAATGAGGAAATCCCTGCACGAAATTAATTTTCGTTACGAAACGCGTAATCCGAAGTCAGTATTGATAGAGAGACCTGAAATAGTCGCCTGGCGTCGAAAATACCTACGCTAAATGATTGAATATAGGCGACAAAGCAGAAAAATCTATTATTTGGACGAGACATGGGTAAATGCAGGTCACACAGTTAAAAAAACCTGGATAGACAAAAACGTAGTGAGTAACCGACAAGCAAGCATTGAAGGTTTGTCAACAGGTCTTCGTGGATCGTCAGGGAAAGGTCAAAGATTGATCGTAACTCATATTGGTAGCGATAGTGGCTTTTTAGAAGAGTGTGACTTGATTTTCGTCTCTAAGAAAGGAGGTGATTACCATGACGAAATGAATGCCAGCTGCTTCGAGAGCTGGTTTCAAGAGGTGCTTCAGCGAGTTGAGCCCAACTCTGTGATCGTCATGGATAATGCTTCCTACCATAGTCGTCGAGCCAAACGTGTACCGACTATGGGATCTCGAAAAAGTGACATGCAGCAATGGTTGCGCGAAAAAGGAATCCCGTTTGACGATTCATGTGTGAAAGCGGAATTGTATGAACCTGGGAACATTAGTTACGTGACTGATGAGATGGCCCGTCAATGTGGTGTCACTGTGCTGCGGTTACCGCCCTACCACTGTGAACTGAACCCAATAGAGCTCATCTGGACTCAAGTGAAGGGTTATATTGCGCGCCATAACACAACCTTCAAATTACCAGACGTTAAGGTTTTACTTGAGACTTCCATACAGCTAGTAACGCCCGAAGCTTGGCAGAATGCTCTCCGTCATGTTGTGAAGGAAGAAACAAAAATGTGGCAGCTTGACCACCACATCGACACCATCATAGAGCCAGTTATAGTCAATTTCAACGAGGAAAGCGATAGCGACAGTTTATTACTGTCAGATGTAAGTGGAAGCTACGATGAATAAAGGTAATTCCCAAATTTTTGACTTACAATATGTTTCAATCCACTCTTTATTAATCATGTGACAAATCTAGTTTACCCATGTTAAACATTCATACCCCGCCTATGAACAGCCGACTACTGGTAGTTAAGTGATGTTCACGTGAACATCGATGAGTCATTACAGTTGTAGATAGTTATAGTATAGTAGTCTTACTTTGACCCACCAAGAACTTACAGGTAATTGCTCAAATATATGAGGTCCAATGCTGCCCAAGCAATCGCAAGCGACAGCCCTCAAGATAGGATTTTCTTCAAATTGAAATAAGTCGACTAGGGATTTATTCAATAAGGTCTTCCAAAAATTTACACACTGAGTGATTGGGATTTCAACAAGTTTATCTGAAAAACGAAAAACGGTAATAGATCAATCAGTCAATGTTCATTTGAAAATTCACCTTCGTTGGACAAAAATTTGCTCATAGCTTGGCCGATGAAATCCACTGTTCTACCAGCATGCAACTTCAAGTCAACATAAGAGTCAAGTAAGGCTTGATCTAGGGCTTTGACAATTAAAGACAGGTGCGGTAGGATGAGGTTTTCAAAATATTTGGTACTCATTGCTGACAATATCTGCAAAGATTCTAGTTTCACTGGAGCTGCTCCTTTTGACGACTCGCTTTCCTGAAAATCAAAATAATGTTAAGGAAATGTTCAGGATTTTGGGAACATAGACGTCGACACAGCATATATTCTGCAACCAATATTTCAGTTGTCAAATGTGGAGTAATATACTGGGTGACAAAAAAGGTAAACACCTACGTATGTTTGTTTGATTTTAATAAATTTTGGCATATATATACGAAGGTGTTTACCTTTTTTGTTATTCAGCATAGTTGTAATTGTTTTTCTTCCCTTTAATATTTTATGAACAGAATAAAATCTCATCAAATAAAGGCCACACCTGATCCCAGTGGTTTGTCTTGATAAAAAATAACAAATTTTCTAGAATACCTCCATTTCTACTCCTAAATTGACCAAACACCTTTTCAAAAGCCATGGTATTCCCGTTCCGCAACGACTATCACTTTCCTCAGCTTCTTCTGGCTCATCAAAGTCAGCATATTCAAAACTATCATTAATTGATAAGGAATCAATATCGTCCATCAACAAACTATCATCATTTTTTGCAACTTTGTTTTTTAAAGCTGATTCTAATTTCAACATTGCCTCAATCGTTTCCGGGAGCACAGGTTCTGAAGCTAGAACACAGCCCAGCGCTATCAGGGCTGTCACTTGAACTGAAGCATCTGAAAAATTGATATTACTAAGGCCCAATTTTTCAATAGCAGGTTAACTTTAAAGTTAGGTAACTATAACTTGGAAGTTCTTAATAGATTTATTTTTGTATTTTCTATCGATTATTTACGTTAATATAATACTGTAAACACATACAGTAATGGACAAAAGTATATAGACAAATATGAATAATTACCCACATACCTTTAGAAATTCATACTTCATTGCTCCATAAATGAGTGCGTTATTAGTAGAAAAACTAAATTCCTTGTTTTTTCGTTATCTCCAATGAACACAATACAAGTCGGAATATAAGCACTTTTTTATGAGGGACAAAAATATGTAGACAAATTCTTTTCAACATTAGTTTAGTACAGTTTCCTGAGGAAGAGGATTAGTTTGTGTTCATCAAGTATTGTGGATTAAGTTGAGTGATTTTAAGACCATGCCGCGTGGTCCAGAAATTTCTTTCGATGTGAAAACTAAGATCATTGAGTTATACAAAAATGGTCAACGTCAAGTCGACATTGCCAAAAATTTGAAGCTAAAGCATAAAGCAGTTTAGGCAATATTGAACAAATATATACAAAAAGGTATCTTGGAAGCCTCTAAAGGAAGTGGTCGGCCTAGAAAACTAAATGCTAGATCAGTTAGATTAATAAAAGTAATTTCGTCCAAAGATCCGTTTAAAACCCCAAGACAAATAAAAGCCGAAATCGAGACAAAAGAAATTGTCAGTGTTTCTAAACTATAAGTAGAAGATTAAATGATTTGAAGTTATTTGCACGTCGCCCGAGTAAGAAGTCGCTAATCTCGAGGAAAAACCGTAATGACCGATTACAATTTGCACGGTTGCATCTTGATTGGAGCATCTGTGACTGGAAGAGGGTATGTTTCAGTGACGAATCCAAGTTCAATATGTTTGGATCAGATGGTGTTCATTACGTTAGACGTTCTAGTGGACAAAGATTGAATCCCAAGTACACTTTGCCCACTGTCAAACATGGAGGCAGGTTTGTTATGGTTTGGGGGTGAACTATGGCTAATTCGATTTCATTGAAAATTTGTCATTTAAATGTACGATCTCTAGTAGCTGCTTTCCATGATTTTACACACATGATTAAAGATCACTTTGATGTCGCTGCAGTGACTGAAACATGGCTAAACGACGGTATACCTAACGATGTAATTTCAATTGAAGGGTATGATTTTTTACGAAAGGATCGGGTGAGCAGAGGAGGTGGTGTTGGGCTATATGCGAAGCGTAACCTAAATTGTTCAATAGTAGAGATTGATGTTGCTATTAATAGCTCTGTGGAAATTTTATGCTGCAAGTTCAAACTTCACAACATTGCATTTTTGTCGTGGTTGCCTATCGCCCTCCTCACTTGAATTTAAATGATGCCATACATAATTTTGACAATTTGTTATCTTTTTTTACTCCGTTGTATGACAATATTATTTTCTTGGGTGATGTAAATATTGATCTGTTCAATCATGAGAACCTTCTAAATAGATGTTTTGATTCATATAATTATGCTCAGATTATTACCGAGCCCACTAGAATTACGCAGTTCAGTTCCACATTGATAGATCCCATTTTTGTGAATGATGTAAATATTATTTTAAACTCTGGGACATTAGCAGCAGATAAAATATCTGATCACAGATTAGTTTTTTGTGAATTAGCAATGCCTGCTCCTAGAAATGCTCCAAAATTTATTGAATATAGGGACCTGAAAAATATTGATATGGTCTTGTTCAAAGCACACTTAAGACTTAATGTATTGGATGAAATTTTTTATATTAATGATATCGATCAAAAGGTTTTATTTTTCACTGAAAGTTTAATTGCTCTTTTCGATACACATGCACCTATTCGTAAAGCGCGTATAACGAAAAATGCATCGCCTTGGTTAACCCCAACCTTGAAACGTATTTTCAAGGAAAGAGATGAAGCTTTACTCAAATTTCGACATGATTCAACTGAAGAAAATTGGATAAACTACAGAATTTTGCGTAATCACGCACTTGCTGCACTTAAAAGAGAGAAAAAAGCATATTTAGCTCATTTCGAAAAGTCAAACCCCAAAAAATTTTGGAACCACTTAAGAAATTTTGGAGCTTACCAAAAAAATAAGGCAGAAATTCTCCCACACTTGCTCAATCCTGACGAAGTTAACAATTATTTTTATCAAATTTTATATCCCATAATGTTAATTCCCGTCTTATAAATCGTACGGTAGATGAATATATTTCAAGTTCTTTTAATTCAGACATTCCGCTCTTTCACTTTCATTTAGTTACCCCAGAAGATGTTTTAGATATTATAATTTCCATCAAATCTCAAGCAACTGGTTGTGATGGAATTAACATAGGAATGATCAATTTGTATATTCCTGAAGTGTTACCTCATCTAACACATATCGTCAATTTTTGTTTAGAAAAAGGAGTATTTCCAAGTTTGTGGAAAGAGGCTGTTATAACTCCTCTGGCTAAGAATAATAATCCTACAGAATATTCGGATTTGAGACCCATTAGTATATTGTGTGCCTTGTCAAAGATATTGGAAAAAATTGTTTATATGCAATTGGTAAAATATTTTGAAGAGTACAACATATTTCCAAATTGTCAGTCTGGTTTCCGTAGTGGTCACAGCACATCTGCATTATTACACGTAACTGATGAGATTATCTCTAACTTAGACAATCATATTTACACTGTGCTGGTGTTGTTAGATTTCTCAAAGGCATTTGATACGGTTAATCACGAAATGCTTCTATCCAAATTAAAATACTACGGACTATCTGACGTTCCTCTTTGCTTTTTTAAATCATACTTAAATAATCGCAAGCAACGAATAAGAACAAGCCAAGGAGTTTCTCTTAGTGCCGATGTTGCTTCTGGTGTTCCTCAGGGTTCCGTGCTTGGTCCTTTACTATATTTAGTTTATACTTTTGACTTGCATACTGTATTACAGTTTTGTAGTATTCATACTTACGCAGACGATACACAATTGACCTTCACTTTTGACTCTACTAATGTGGATCAAGCTTCGTATAAAATAAATTTAGATCTGGTAAATATAACTGACTATTGCAAGGCTAACTGTTTGAAGCTCAATCCTACCAAGAGTTTTGCGGTGTTGTTCTGTCCCAAAACCAGCTATGAGCATTTTGAAAGGATGATTGATTTGAGGGTAAATAATGACCATATTCCACTCGTCACGCATGCAAAAAGTCTAGGTGTTACTTTAGACGTAAATCTTAGATTTCATCACCACGTCAGTAATATATCTAAAGCTACATATGCAAGCCTAAGACTCCTATACTCCAATCGTTCTATTCTCAATTTCAAGACTAGAAAGAAATTGGTGGAAAGTTTAGTTATGTCTAAGCTGCTTTACTGTTTTATACTGTTTTATCCTTGTCTTGACTCCATAACAAAAACCAGATTGCAGAAAATTCAAAATTGTTGTTGTCGTTTTGTTTTCGGCCTTTGTAGGTATAGCCATGTTACATCCAAGATCTGTGAGCTGGAGCTTTTCAAGTTTCATATGTTGGTTTTTGTACATAAAACAGTCGTTACCAAGAGACCTATTTACCTTGCAAATAAGTTAGTTCCGCGTAGGAATTTAATTTCAAGAAGGTTACGTCATGATGAACAGTTCAATATTCCTCTTCACTACACCTCATTATATCAGAGATCTTTCACGTATAATGCTGTTGAGCTTTACAATTCAGTCAGTGCGGCTAACAAACAAGAAAGTTTACTCTCTTTTAAGAAATCAGTTGGAAAACAGCTATTGGAGATGCAATCGTCTCGCAGTGTTTGAGTTGTTGGTTTGTTTTATTTTTATGACACTTTATTATTATTATTATTATTATTATATTAATAGTTCAAGTGTGCATTTGTTTCTTTTTCTTATTATTACTATTGTTTGTTTGTGTATCGAGTTTAACTGTGTTACTCTTTCGTACACAGTGAGGTTAAGTGTAAGAGTAGCCATTTGGCTAAACTTCGCCTCACTGATGTATGCTGATTAATAAAGACATTTATTATTATTATTATTTTCGGGGTTTGGGATGGGGCCTTTACATAGAATAGATGGCAGGCATTATGGATAAGTTTGTATACACAGACATACCAAAGCATGTCATGTTACCCTATATGGAAGACAATATGCCCTTAAGATCAATCTTCTAGCACGATAACGACCCGAAGCACACTTCAAATCTTGCAAAGAAATGCTTTCTGGATGAATAAATACCAGTTCCCAAATGGCCTTCACAGTCTCCCGATATAAACCCCATTGAAAATCTATGGGAATACTTAGATAAGCAAATACGAGATAAAAATTATTCAAACAAGGATGAACTTTTTGCCGCTTTAGAGCAAAAGTGGAGACAGACTGATGAATCGTATATCAAGAAACTTCTACAATCTATGCCGAGACGATGCCATATATATTTTTGTCCTTCATAGTTCCTGTTTTTTTCAATTCATTTTTTATTGAAGGGAGTCTAATGAATTTATTTATATATAAGTGAGTATTATGCTATACCGAATTATGTATACAGGTTGGTGTATTAATAAAACAAGTTAAAAAAGAAATATAGCACAATATTAATTTGTCTATATACTTTTGTCCATTACTGTATATCATTCATCGGAATGTCTATATTTATTTTTAATTAAATATTTAAAAATGCAATGCCAGTGTGTCATTTGATTGTATGTTTGGTTAATTTGCTGCCAAGTTTTAAAAGGTTCTATTTTATATCCTCTAGCTTCAATTTGAATGAAAAACGGAAACATGATTTGTACTCTAGTGCATCCATAGTACAAAAATATACGGAAAGCACTGGATAAAACATTTTTTTATATTCCCTGAGATGCTAAGATAAAAGTGGTGTCAAATTATGAAAAGGGATAATTATATAGAAAACATTTTCGTCCAGCTTGTATCAAATGTAAAAGGTTTTTAGCCTTCCTTATGTAGCAGACAATTATGTGAACATACCTTTGTGATACAAAAATGGTTTGATATTCCTGATAACTTTAGTCATAAGTCTACTAGACATTCTGTGATAAGGTGTTGCCTGTATCAAAGCTGCATAGCACTTCAAAGCTTGTGTCAAAACTGGGACAGATATTTCATGTAGGATTAAACTTAGGCTTCTGTGTAATTCTGTGATCATTCTGCCTAATACCACAGAATAAGGTGTAAAGGATGTACTCTTATCACTAAAAATAACAATCATGTTAATATAATATACCTAATAATACGCTCCTTTTTAGTTTAACCATTGATTAATGTATTCAACCTAATGCGATATTCGCGCGACCAAAATTATCCGATATAAAATAAGATATTGTAACATGATCTGTGATATTGTTTCACAGCTGTATCTCTATTTGCTATGTATAGTTTGTAACCTTAACCTTTTCAAAGTATATATAGTCAATAGAGAAACAGTTTTGACATATTCTCAGAGCTGGGTTGGGTAACTTCAGGTAGAGTATGTTAATCAATGGTATAACAGTGCCTATTTGGTGAAGGCGCTTTTCAAATCCATAACAGACAAGGTTTGCTTTCAAGTTCGAAAAAAAAAAAACGAACAAAAAATATTGTTTTGTAAGAGATGAGAAATGGTCTCATAGATAATATTTTTCTTCAGTACTCCACATTACCTCATACCTTGACTCAGCCTGTGCCAAATACAACTTAGATGTAGTTAAAAGCAACAGCAGAACATTGAGAGCAGACATTCTGTTTCTTGCAGAAGGATCTCTTAAGAAACAGGTGACAAGATTGTGTTGGCCAGACATATTATCTTCAGGTATAAAGCTAGACCAGTATGTGAACATTGTGGATTTTTCTGTATTCTAAAACAGAATATGGAAAGGTAAAATACATTAGTTGTTGATCGGAGTACAAAATGACAATGTCACCTTCACAACAATGAAGAACAAATTGAGTGCAGCTCTCCTGACTTTAGTTTTGACATGTTGCAATTTGGCAGCTTTTCCTGATTCGCTGTCTGAAAAGTCTGAATCACTGGTCTTTATTTTATTGCCACTGTTAACACCACTAGAAAATATTTTTTAATAAATAATTACATGTAAAATGAAATAAGGCGTACCAATGTAGCATTAAAATAATGATTCATTTGGATGTACCTTCTCATGAGCTTAAAAAAATTGAAAACAATCAACTGTGTCCCGTTATCATTATTATCAAATAAAATAATCATCAATTACTTTCTTTTTTCTAAATTATTTTTTTCAAATTTGTTGAGCGTCTCGCATCCGTGCATCTTCAGTGGTAGTTGACGACTATAGGCGAATATTACTGATTTTCAATTGCTAAAAGCTACTCTCTTATCCATTAGACATGGGGTCATAGAAAAAACTCCAGAGGTTGCCAAGTATTACTTGAAATGTTCAGATAATTTATTGAAAATCAGTAATCCAAGTTGGACCTCATTGATCACAGTAACAGCAGACATTGGAAGAAATGATATACAAAAACGCAATGTATAAAAATGCTTGTTTTCTTCTAGGATAAAGTTAACCAACTGAATGTTTTGCATACATTTTTTGTAACTAGTAGCTCCAAATGAATCACTAGTTATTTAATTTTTTCCATACCTAACTCCACTATCTGAGTTATAATCCAGGCAGGTTGTTGCTGGGATATAACCACCACTGGAAGTGTCATGTTCACTTTGATTTATTTTTCCTTTCTTTTGAGTTCCACTAACCCTATGCTTTTTTTGTTTTGTCAGCTAAAAATGGAACTTATGATTAACACACTGTCACCTTTGTTAGTCACTGAACTATTTTCATGGTGACATGTCAGTCATCTACTTTTAACTTGTTATTTAGCAGACAGTAATGCATTCTGTGTTAAATTATATTAGGTTTGCCTGACACAGAATGCATTGAAATTAATATAATTGAGTTTATTAAGCTGATGTTCAATGTATTAAAATATCCTTATAAGTTATTACCTTTCCTCCTTTCTTTTCCCTAGTAAGGCTTGGCATTTCTGGTATACTTAAAGCCGATGGCATCAATTTTTGAGGCATAATGTAATCTACATTTTTAATTCCTAGCAACATGAATGTTTTTATCACACCCAATACTGTTCCCAATTCTTTCATAAGGTACTCTGGATATTGCAATATAACATTCTGTAGTCCAAGACAGCATGTTTGTAATATCTGAAATTATAGTACATTGTATAGTTTGTGAAGTGTGCATATGCTTGATATTCTTACCTTATTTGTGATAAGATCATTGGAGTCTGTTAGATTTTCAGTCAGATGACTCAGAAAAACTTCTGAACATAACTCTAAAGGCTTATGAAGGTCACTATCTGCTTTTTGATTTTCACTAGACAAAGTTGTACATGCTTCCAAGCATTGTAGTGCTAAAAGAGTAGTTTCCAAGGTTCCCTGGTTCTTTTTCAGGAATTTGCATATTTCTCTAACAACATATCCTACTTGCTAAAAGTTAATGGACCAAATAAAGTGTTCTATTTTTTATCACCAGAGTTGTTGTACAAAAGTTATAGATAAACCTCAAGGAGGAGTTTCAAGGTATTAAATATTAAACGTGCAATTTCTCTTAGGGCAGTTAAGCTCCACACATGGTACAGTTAGGCACTCTGTTTACTTATTTCAATTGTATAAATTGTAACATAATCACTAAAAACTGTATTGCATTTTAAATACTTGGTGAAAAAGTGCTTACTATGCTTTGTTTGTTGACATTGCTTCTCAGCAAAGCATCTAATGCTTGCAAAACAACAAGTATGATATTTTTATCCTTTATCTGCAGTCCATTCAAGCACCACTGAACCGTTAATGTTAGAGTTTTGCCTTCGACAGACAAATTTTGTTGTCTTATTAGATTCCATAATAGTTGACTATATTTTTGAACTAATATACTATCATCAGTAGGTATAAAGCTACAGCATTGGTTTACTAGAAGGACAGCCTCCTGTAAAGAAAATCAAGCAATATAATGAGAAAACTGCACAATAGTAAGGTAAAACTAAGTTTGTGTTAAGATTGTAACTCTTATGATTCTGAGGTAGATAGTATCATGAAGTTCCTACACCTTATTTTGAGGGTAAAATATACTCGTAATTAAAAATCATGCAATATATCATTTATAGCATTAAATATAGGCATTATTTATGGAATTAAACCAAGGTTAGAAAAAGAACATTATTTTTTTTGCTTACTGTGGCGTTTGTTATGATCGGGTACCTGTAGTTCAAGGAATTTAAATCATCTAGCGTTTTACTGATAAGGTCTTGATTTCCTTCCGTTCTTCGCAAAAACAAATTAATGATTTTTGAAGACAGATTGCTGAAAATTTCAGAGTTGTCAAATGATGCCGCCATATTTTTAAATGTGACATCACAAAACATATACACTGAAGAAGGTTAGTCACGTGCTATTCATAGGGCAACACGGTCGATTTATGTCAGTGTCAATTGCCATTTTTTCTGGTTGCCACATGGTTGTCTGATTGTGCACGAACGCCGCATGCGACGTTACCAGCTCTGCATAAATCTGAGACTTTTGTACAATTATATATTGGGCATTTACTAATGATATATGGAAGATTTTATAACGACATGTGTTATAAACATATTTTTGCTGTTTTGACAAATAACTAATCACTTATTTTTTTAGCAGCAGCGTCAATAACACATGCCATTATAAAATCATCCATATATCTCTCTATAGCTATTTGAACATTTGAGAACAGTAAAAGAATCTACACTTGAGAATATATTTTTAGGTATCTACATTTCATATTGTAAGAACACAATAATATTTATGGTCCAAATATGCAAAAATTGTTAGAATTTGTGATGAAAACAAATTATTTCAAAAACAAATAATAGTTATCATTAACAATTGTAAGGTTACTAGAGATACCAGATTTTTCATAAGAATTATAGCACATGGATATTTAATCACATTTCCATAACAGTGATAATAAGAATGTAAAAGGTTTACGGAAAATATGATTATATATAATTTAAGAATTTTTACAGAATTATTAAATTATATCATACTTTTTAAGCTATAAATATTTACTAAAGTATTCATTCATATTTATATTCAAAATTGAAATCTACGGAAATTGTCGTTAGTATCTTACCTCAATAACAGAATACCAATATTAACAGAGAAGCGCTACAAATCACTCGATTTGACATAAACTTACAGTAGCCATTGTCCTATCTATCTCGGATCACCATGGGTTGGCAGTAGAATGAAGCGCCTTCAACTCTTGCTTCTTCAATGTTTCATAGCACTCCACATTTGTGACTGTTGAATTAAGTAGAAATCCTCAATAGTTGTAATGTTATAACGAATACATCTACCGTCAACGTAAACATCGAGTCACTTCGGGAGCAGACGCGCGGAGTGGGACCTGTAAAGGGGCGTAGCTGTACTACCCGACCGTGCCGTATCGCCACAGCGAAGTACAGCGCTCGCACGCTTCAGTCTCTCGGCAACCGTCGGCGCAGCGGAATGTCTACGCGTTCACAGCTCCTTTCAGAGCTCTATTCGGTTTAGCTACTTTTTTCAGTAGTGGTGTTCACTGTAGGGTTCTCGATTGTCTCTGTTGTGACGTGGGTGTCAAGTGTCTCCAAAGTGAAAATTAGGTCTACTTCCAACTCGTCTGAGGGAAACAGGATATCTGTGCAGGAAACTATAGGTGAGCCTTGCATACTCATCTACTTGTGTGATAGGGTTGACATCCTATGTTTTTTAAATAAATTGCGCGCATTGCATACATTGAGAAATTAGTCATATACTGAGATATTTGGGAAAAACTAAAATTTGGCCAAATCGTTTTTATTTTTGTCTGACTTTATTTTAAGAAATGTCAAAAAACTAATGGCACCATTTAGGCACTACATGATGGTGTTTTTAAAAAAGCGCTACACTGTATCTAATAGCAGCTTTTTCTACGACTTCAACGATGTATCACGTTACATTTGTTTTTTAGCTATAAAAACAAAGGTGTTTTTTCTACTTTTTCATTATATTTAAGAAGGAGTTGCAAACAAATGCATGTGTTATTACTGAGTTTAACTTAGTCTGATCCTTATCTTGGCCAACCTGCAATACATTATTATAAAAAGAAATTTACAGAAACGTGCACTAATCTAACGTTCTTGTAAGTATTCTTATGTATTTACATTTATTTGTGAAAATTCTCCAAACTATTAGCAAGGCCTCGAACAAAGGGTCCAAGGAATTGGCAGCAAAATCGTCCGATGAGCTGGCAACGATGCAATCCAGGTGACAAAATCAACTTTCAAAATGTATGTCAATAGCGGGGTAACGATGGAGTCATTTATAGGGATGTACAAAATTTCAAACAGATCGATATATCAAATATCGATGTATCAAATACCTAAACATCGACATATATGAAATTACGTTGTTTAACCATCGATACATCGAAAATATCGGCTAAGTTTCATCGATGTATCGTAGAATCGTAAAATCGTTTTATCAAGTTTTGTGAAATATTTCCACACAGCGCTTGGAGCCATATTAATCACTAAATGAACATCGAAACACTAACGAAACTTGTAAGAATAATAAGAACCGAATAACGGCCACAGACACTAAACAGTATCAAGTAAACAAATGTTGAGAAAGGGGAACCCCCGGATAAACGAATATTTGCTAATACAAAATACAATAGCGACATCTTTGATTTTATATCTCAACTTCTCAGGGTTTTATAAGAGAGTGTAAGCTATTCTGTATTCTGTCCAACCATTTGACATTTATCAAAAGTTAAGAGATGGCTCTGAATATTTTTTGTTTTGCAAAAAGAGCTAATTTTAATTAAATGCACTGTAAAGCACAATTTTAAATAAAAGAATATAGGTTAAGAAAGTAAGTCAAACACGTAGTTTTTTTTAGTTAGGAGAGTAAATTGAAAAGGTTTTTTTGGCATTCAATAAATGCCGAGCCTATCCTGGAAAGACAAAACAAAAATAAACAGTTTATATCTCACTTGAGCTAACTAAAAATAAAATATTCTTAATAAAAAACAGAAAAAGTGATTAACAAAAACTATGTGCAAGCTATATTGGACAATCTTCCGATTCATTTTTGTTTAAGGTTTTATCAGTCATATTATCTACTAATTTTGCTTTGCCAAATGGTCCGTCAGCAGGAATGGCAAATTATGCTCAGCCAAAAATGCGCTCAAACGAATTTCTCCTGGAAATAATAAAATAATCTATATAATCTCAAATCTTCTCAAATAAATTAATTAATTTCACCTTCTTAAAAATCATTTTCTAATTTCTTTGATACACCTGCAACTGCAAATTACAACAGTTTTTGGCTGTTTTGCTATGGTTTGCACTTTTTTTTTATGAAATTGTCCATTCGCGTGCTTTATAAGTGCATGTCTTCCGCTTGTGATATTAATATCACATACCATGTATTTCGCATAATCGCACCCTTGTTTTTTTAAGCCAGCCTTGGGGAATCTGGTAAGTCTTCCCAGTCTGCCTTACAATGTTGGGCATACTTCACTTTTTCTGGCTGCTACGCCGCTGCTACTACCCTTACCACTACTGTCACTATTAGCTATTTCTTGATTCAATATTGTAAACGCACGCGAAAAAAAAATACTGCAACACAGGTAATACCAATACTGACCGAATTCGGAATTACTGCGAACACAAAAACATACAAATCGTATAATACAGGCATGGACTTGTCACGAGCCGCTAGGCTTAGGCGGCGAGTCTCTAGTCTCTAGATGCGAAGAATCAGCGTATGTGGCACACCAATGTCAGGCAAAGAGAATAAAAATATATCCGGTCTAGTACGAATAATAATAGTACTTTTGTGAGTCTTTTTATCGCTATGCATCAGAAATATTTCTCTGATGTAGGGAACAAAAATTATTCAATTGAAAGAAAGTCCACTTTTCGGTAGATTTTTTTTAAAATCGGTAGTTCGGTATACCAGGGCCAAAATCGGTAGACTTGGTAACACTGTCATCCAGACACAAATAAAAGAGGTTAACTAAAAAAGACAGTAATTAACCGTCATACTTGTCAAAGCCGCCATTTTTCTGGATGCCAACAGTGTTGTCAGGTTGTGTTCAGCAACACCGCACTGTTTCCCATAAGCATTCTCCCATCATGTAGGGGTAGTGCAAAGATATCCAAGTAATAGAACTAGAACAGGTTTTGGGATTTACCATTTTCACTTCAAAAAATTAGATATTCGATAATTGCTAATTTTTATTTCATAAAGTCATTTGCTGCTTCTGATATGTAGACAGGATGTCAGATTTTCGGTTCTGCACTGCACCTTTGAGTGTAAGTACTGTGAGTGTTCAAATACGAGGATTTAAGACCAGAGACAATGTCGGATGCAATTATTAGTCATTAGTCAGTCCAGTTCTATATGTTCCAATTGACATTTGTCATGAGTTTCAAATTTCAAAAGTCTGACGACCATGAATATCAAAAATCACTTTTGCCTAAAAATGGTACATTTTATTTGTTTTTCCGTTGGTTACTAAACTGATAATACTGACTTTTTCCAGATATTTTTGCATGAATACAACGGAATCAGCTGAAATAAGAAGTACTTGAGTCACATTTTTGATCAAAGTACTTACGCTGACATTAAACAGCTGTTTAATCAAAATGATTCATGCGTGTTGCCAGATTGTGGTTGCAATTCTCCTAGAATTTATTTTTAGGATATGAGTATGAACAGGGGCGGATTCAAAGCTGTACTTGCGCACCCACATAAGTATAAAACTCTGTTTGAAAATAAAAAACCTGGGCATTATAATAAATGAGCTTCTAAGAATTGAAGCGCGATACGTTTGGGGCTTCGCCACGTCTCATGATTTGGGTATAGCAAGGTAATTTGACAGTAATATATACGCTGACATCGCAATGTGTACGAGAGAGAAGCGTAGTGCAATGTGTATGTTAGAAAGAGTGCGCCGATGGCATCCATGACTTTGTACTCGGGTTTCTAGGCAAACAGCTGCTTTTATCTCTTTCTAACACACGTATTGCACGCTTATCGCGCTTCTCTCTCGTACACATTACGCCGTCAGTGGTATTTGGTATACGATTTAGTTGAAAAGAAACAGCAGTCTTGTGCATCTAGGAGGGGGCATCCGTCCTCCTCGCTGCATCTCGAAATTCGATCCTGTCACAGTCACATTATGTTCTTTGTTTTAATATAAACCCAGAAAAAGGCCTTCATATACAGGGTGACTTCGAAGTTGAGTCATTTATTTTAACAGTGAGTAGATCTGATCAAAAGAAATGTTTTTTTCCTTTACCATTTTTCTGGTGAAATTAAAGTAACAAAGTTATAGCCCTTTGGAAGTTTGAGTACCGCCCTGTCTCAATAATAATATTATGTGCTCGTG